TGAGAGCTGAACAGAATCCTCAGGTAGGGTTTCAGAAAGCACGGCAAACCCCCGAGGTTGGGGGTGGGGGCAAACGATCAAAATCCTGGAGAGCCTCAAGAGGAAGAGGGGCAACAGCAGGAGACAAAGGTTGTCCCATATAATGCTCAATCTCCCTGCGAATAAAGGCTGATAAATCCCATGACAGGTTGCCCACACCTGTGGCTTGAAGTATGGCATGAGATGTACCCAAAGTGATAATGGTAACTTTGGAATTCATGATTGATACCAAACAAACGAAAAATTATCGGCAGAACTTGGGCAAATCAAATGCTTTTGAAAATAAAGCAAAAAAAAAAGATCTTGTGGCATGCGTTATAAAAATGTTTGCATACAGATGGCAGCACAAAATGAGAAAAGCTAATCTTGTGAGTGGAGGGAAGTACCGTATTAGAACATGCATGTTAGCTTTAACTTGAAAATAATTAGTAGTCCTTGTTCATGACCCTCCTACAGAAATAGAATAAACAATATGAGCCTGCTATAACAAATATAAAGTATACTAACATGAACTAAGAATGTAGTTCTGTGATCTCTTTTTATACACAAGTTTAATCTGTAGAAATTAAGACCAGTTTGAAACTTAATATTTTCAGAACTTTCATTATATTAGCAAAAATATACATGGAAGAAATTTGATTCTAGTAAATATAGAGTAGGTTTATCTCTATATAATCAATGTTTGAAGAATTTACCTACCTTGAGTTAAATTATTAGCTTTAAAAATCAATCAGAAAACATTAAACCTTGCATATGGTATCAAGAAGTAAAGTAGCAATATTTCTCTATAATGGACATATTCTGTCACCTGCCAGGTTTCTGATGAAATTTATGATTTTTAATAAGCCTATTAAATCACACTAATAAGTAGAAATGATACAGCATAAAGAAGAATTATTATATATTATGATAATACTCAGTTTTGACTGTCCTGATATTGCATGAGCATCTTACTATATAAATGCACATACACTCACACTCCATTTCAACAGTTGTAGTCAAAAGGTGGATGCCGGTATACTTTAGTACACAGTTTGTACAAAAACATAGAAAAGGCTTAACTAATGTTAGGCTTAAGACAAGTGGGCTTACAGGTTTCGGTGTCTGTAATTATAATTCTTTTGTATTATTCTAGAAATCCTTTGTTTAAAGAAGTACTGTTACACTAAAGACACTAATTTGACTGCAAATATTTTGCACGTCTGGGATAGTTTCAAATAATAGTCAATCATTACATATATCGATCTGTTTTGGTGTCATAAAACAATATAACAAAAAAATATTTATTTCAAAGTTTTCATAGAGAAGTTACAGTTTTCCTACACTGAAATTGTATTTCCGTAAGATACTTCCACTCAAATACATAACTATTCTCGTTCAGTGCTGCCCTTTATTTGCAAACATTTTTTTCACATGCCTTTCGCTCTCATACACCCCTAGATTTACATGGTTTAACTGATTCTCACATAAATTATCATGTGATAACCCTCCACCAATAGTAGTACCACACACCCATGTTACCTCCTCTATGTTATTTTACCTCACTTCAAGTTTAGTCAGAAAGGTATGCACCAGTTGACAGTGGGGAGGAAGTGTGAGCGGAAGGAAGTACTTGTTGGAAATACCTTTTCAATGTAGGAATAATTATAAATTCCGGCAAGGTAGCATACTTTGGGTCACATACATAGCTAGAATCCCACACTGAATAGGTGGAGGGACCAGTGCAAGGGTTTGTTTATAATTAAGCACAAAGCTACACAATGGGCTATCTGTTCTCTGTTCACCATGGGTATCGAAATCCAATTTCTAGCACCGTGGGTCCTGGTGCAAGGAAGAAAGTAAGAGCATCTTTTGAAAGCATCAAAAGGAAACTCTAATGAGGGAATCCCCTAATGAGAGGATTATACGTGGGAGACTACACCATTTCTGTACCACGAATACTCTATGCCCAGATGTGGAAAACATGACAGATCCAGGTGGAAAATTATGAGCACATCCAATGGGAGAGAAAATGGTTTGACAGTGATCCTAACCACAATATAATATACTTTCAATTTCTCCGATGAACAGAATGTGGGTAAAATAAGGGATATGCCTCAAAGTATAGAGTGGCTAGGGCACAATGGATCATACATGGCAAGTCAACTGCACCCAAAACTCGATTGCTGGGAACTGACATCCATGTGGGGGTAGGCTGATGATTATATCGTCGATAAGCCAACTACAATCCAAAACTCAACAGCCAGGAACCGACATCCATGTAGGGGTAAGAAAGAGGATCATACCGACTTCACCTCAAATTCAGCCAACCGGAGGGAGAAATCTCACTAATGATCTGTGAACAGAGTGAAATAACATAAATATATATATCCAACACAAATCAAACAAACTGGAACCATCTCAAACGCAGTAACATCCTCGGCATAAAAACATCAAAAGGAGAGCAGGGCACATGTGAGCAGAGTGAAATAACATAAATATATGTCCCACTGAAATCAAACAGACTGGAACCACTTCAAACACAGTAACATCCTCAGCATAAAGACACTGTGGGGTAGCACAAGTGAAAGAAGTGGAGAGAGGGGGGGGGGGGTCAAACACTGTGGAGTATCTGGTAGAAAGTTCCCACCAGAGACAGTGCAATGTGTGACCATGAAATGGATAGCACAAAAAAAAAAAACAAGTGTGCTCCCATGCAGGCAACAGAGATTCTAAGTACAGTCAAGAAGAAATTCTGCTTGATGGTAAGTTATGGCATATTGAACCAACGCCTGTGGAGGGCGAGGCATGCAAGTACCCTTTTCCAAAAGAGTGACAAAATTGCTCATCATTAAAAATTACGTCTGGAGAGGCAGGGGGAAAATTATACTGTGAAACAAAACCAAAAAAGCCCGAGGTAGGCCTAGCAGATTCTACATGGGAAGACAACCCATAATCAAGTGGAGGAAAACTGACAAGATTTTGGTCATCCTAAATGGGTTTGGCAGTTGTAGGAGAAAGGCGTGCACTACTGGGAGAAAGAAGGGTGCCCCTGGGTCCTCATAAACTAAATTAATTGTAAGAAGTGTAAATTATAAAGAATTAAGAAAATGAAATAGTCGATATAATGTAAGTTTAAGTAAGTGTGTAGTGAAATAAACATATGTATGAGATGTTATGTGTTGAAGAATACAAGATATTTAACCTAATTATTGATTTACTGTAAGATGAACTACAGGTAAACAAACTAATCGAACTGTGTAGAACAAAGTATATCACTAAGCTCTAGTTTAAAAACCCTAACCAAACAATAATACGTACAATATCAGAAGTTTGTGCATACCCCAGCTTTAAAAAAGTTAATATGAAGTATAAAATTTTGATAAATAATAAAGAAAAGAAAATAGATGTTATATTGTAAAATTAAGTCTGTATTGACAATAACATATGTATGAGATATGATGTTTTGAAGAAAATAGTTAACCTAATTTACGATATATCAGTAAGATAAATTACAGGTAATCCTAAAATAACAAAAAAATCATGTTAAGGTTAATCTAATGTTATGGGACAAAGGATACAAATAAACTCTCATTTCCAACCTGAACTGGACCATGAGTATTGACCAACCTAACTAAACTTATGTTATTGACACTAACTAACTACAGATAATAATATTAACAGTATATAACAAATTATCTTTCCAAAGTCGGTGGACCATATTTCAAAATATGTGGACCCCAACTTATAGTTGAGGTCCGACAAAGGTCAGATCACTGTACGATCAATCTCCCAAAGAAGTAAAGCCAATAATTCCCCAGCAAAGGACCACCACCTGAAGCCTGTGTAAATGTGCTGATAGAAAATATAACCACCAAAGTGGTAACTTAGAATTTGGAATTCCTAATTCAAAATGAATAACCAAACACAACCGTGTTAGCAAAAAAGAAATAAAAAGTACAAAATTAGTAATAAAGTATTAAGTTCCGTAACTGGATAGAAATTTAAAATAAGTCCACTTCAGAATAAGTTACAAATATCACTATTATATAATCAATAGTAAACTTGTTGAAAGAAATTGATATGAAGCTATGAAAAAAACATTTGAAGAGAACATAAACTATACACCGAACACAAGCACTGCCAAATGAGAAATGATAGTTAGGTAGAAAAACACAGAGGGAGTCACAAGTCACGTGTGTGTGGCACTACCATTGGTGGTAGTTTGTCGCATGATAATTTGCATGCGAGAATCAGTTAAACCATGTGAATTAAGGGGTGAGAGGCTTCTGGTATGTGAAAAAAATTTTCAATAAAGGGCAGCACTGTATGAGAATACTAAATATATGTGAGTGGAAGTAAGGTATCTTGTCAGAAGAAATTATACACAAGTGTATATGAAGTTAAAAGTTAAATAACATTTACTTTACTAAAACATTTATTACTATGCAGAAGATAGAATTTGTATGAATCTATTAGTGTCCTGTATAAAACACATCTGAAAAATTGTCTCGCTGAATTGAAAAGATCTAGAAATTTTTTTCTTGTAAAAATTCTGCATTTGATTTTGTGAAAAACTTTTAAAGTATGGTTATACTAATTTTAACAAAAATTATAACTATTAAAATAGTGTCCCAATAGAATTTGTTTTTTCCTAGCTTACGAAACTAAACTTTTCTTTTAGATAGCCTATCCTAAACATGCTAAAAAACTTGTAGAGGTATTCACAGTGTAAATTTTCAAAAGTTTATAAAAAACAAATCAAATGTTGACAAGGGTAAGATACTTTAATAAACAGTTCATAAAAAAAAACCTTGTAAAGTTGAGAAAAAATGTATGCACAGATTTTAAATCAAGATAGTAACAAAAAAAAATAAAAAAAAAGATTAAAGAGAAGATTTTTAAATGAAAAAATTGTCAACACAAGTAATTATCACACCAGGAAGTAGAAATCATGGTAATTTAAAGGATCAATCTCATGGTTCACATCACAAAACATTTTTTATTACATATAACAAGAATTTTAGCAAAGGTTATAAGGAGCCATATTGCAGTACAACTTATTTTTAAACTAAAGACAGACTACTAAAGTAGTAAATCAAATATTAAAGAATATCAGTGAGAAATTTTGCTCCAATTAAGGTTAACTACCCAAACCTAAACACACTCACGTTATTTTAGAGGCTTTTAGTGATATGGAAAAAGTTAACTAAAGCCATAAAAATGTAGAGAAACTCAACAGCTAATGTCTGATATATCTGCCATGGAAAGAATAGCTGGTTTCAAACACTTTCTCTAGTCACTATCAAGATCCATATCAGATTTTGCAGGGCTTTCTGGACTGGATGCAGCTGCAGTAGTTATTTTCTCAGGTTTGATTGGTGAAGCACTAGATTCTCTATCACTGACTTTAATCTTCTTTACTGTTTCTTGTCCACTGTCATAACCTTTCTCTTCCTCGTCATAATCTCTCTTTACTTTACTTTCCTTGACTTTTTCAGAGTCTTTGTCATCATCCTTATCTTTGCGTTTTCTCTTTTTGTCTTTATCTCGCTCACGGCTGCGATCTCTTTCTTTATCTTTCTTCTTCTTGTGTCTGATAATATATATATATATATATATTTAGTTTCAAAACTAATACTATATAACAAATAACAGTAAAATGAACAGTAACATATGACAACTGAAAAAGTATGGATGAATTTAATCCAATTACTTAATAATACATATTATTAATAAATGTTAACATTTTCCTACACTGAAAATGTATTTCCAATAGGTACTTACCTGCTCTCACACAAAAGGCTATCTCAATCATTGACTGCCCTCTGAACATTGCTAAAAGAATTTTAGTAATTAGTGCACCAGTCTTTATACCCCACCAGTTTCTCACTATTCCTGAATGTTTACTGCACCACCTATAACAGTGCAACTAGCTCCCTCTGTTATTCCTACTCAATCCTCACTTTCAAGAATTGGCAGGTACTAGAATAAAAACACCTGTTTTAGTGAGGAGGAAGGGTGGGAAGTGTGTGAGAGAGGTAAGTACATATTACAAATACACTTTCAGTGTAACTAAATGTTAACTTCCAAAATGGACTTACAAAAGGCTAGAATCCCATATTGCAAAGACAATGGCGATGAGCTAGTGTAGACACACAAAGAATGAACCAAGCAGAAAGTGACCACCCAGAATGAATGGGTGTGCTTGGAGATGAAAATGAAGCACATTTGTGGGGTAACGCACTACGTCTGAAACAGGAATTAGGAAAGTAACAAAATGAGTGGAAAAGGTAATGCTTGCACAATTTCAAGAGTGTCAAGAACATGCAAACTGTATCAACACATAACAAGAAAAGAAACAATGTAAAAACAATAGGTGGCTAGAGCATGTGGACCATGTTATTGATATCCAACAACTCCAACTGTGAGTAAATAGTGTTGGTTATCAAGCAACTGGGATTACAAAAAGGAAATGAGCAAATGGTTGTAACAGGACAAACTCCCAAAACCACCATGGAAGCAACAAGTACAACAAACCAAACCTGGCATCATAGGGTCTTGGCATTTCTCAACTTAACCATAAGAACAGGGAAAGCTGTATCCAGTATTACGGCCAAAATCATAACTCACTCAACTGCAAATGAAAAGTAGATACATCCTGTATCTGAAATTATGATGATGACAAGCAGCATTCACCCAACCATAGGAACAGAATGCAGACATCTTGTTGCTGGTATTACAAGACCGATGAAGTCTCTCAAACCAAACTGTAGAAGCAGGAAAGAACCTTCTGCAACTGGAATTAACAAGAAGAGAGGGATCTAATGCATACAACCGTAGGAACAAGGAACTGTCATCCTGAACCTGGAATTATGAGGAGGATCCCACGTAGGCTAGTCCCCAATAATACTTAATCATTGGTTTTATTAAGACAGAAAATATCCTAAGGAAGAGCCAATAAGGAACTAGCTTCACCTTCATCTCCTGAATGGGTAAACAAGCACAAGTGTAGTATCACTCAGGAGGAGAAGGAGGTAAAAGGGTCATGGGGAGTCCAGAGAAACGTCACACAGCTCAATGGGTGACAGTGTTTCATTATTTTGAAAAGCAGACTGAAACCAATTAAGGAATCAAAGGGTCGGCTGGGATGGACATAAATTCCATTCTGCTTTACTCATGAACTTCATGAGTAATGATTCACTAAAGATATAATTATAATACACAGATATATACATACACCACTGGGAAAGCACCCAATGGTTTTACAAAAACACCCCATCTGAACTGTGAGCATTGTATAGTCACTGCACTTAATGCAGATTTGAGACAAACCATATCTGCTCAGGCAACACCCGCCACTAGGTGGGATCCGTAAATAAGCTTAGGAAAGTTGAAAAGAAAACATAAAAGATACGAAATGAGCAGGCTTACCCCAGTTAAAGGCAAACAGATGTTTGCAAAATAAACATGGGAGGAAGACGATATCTACCAGAGAAAGAAACAGCCTAATAGTGCAGATAATGAGCGACAAAGATATTGGGAGTTGCTCACATACCAGCATGGATGATTCCTTTCAGTAGGAGGCAAAGGCAAGCAGCTAAAGACATGGTAATGTGACAAATTTGATGTGAAGAGACAATGTTGTGACAAATTTGATGTGAAGAGACAATGTGAAGATGGCGACAATCCATAGACAAGTCCAAATACACCATTTTGATAAGTTGATGAGCTCAACCAGTGAGAGTTACTGGAAACAGATCATGGGAAACGGAAGGGTTCCAAGGAATAAATAGTTGGTAACCGGAACCCTGAAAGGAGGCAGTACGAGCAACATAACACCTAATGGACTGAGCCAGACAAAGATGACTATCTGGATTGGAATGGGAGTATAGGTGGGAAATCGAAGGTAAGGAAATGAGTGAGAAAGACAAACTATCTTCCTAGGCCACATAGATTTTAGGCAGGAAGGACTGGTCAGGATAAAGGATCACACAAGAGGAATGGTAAAGGGTAGGAGAAATATTAATGGCATAAATATCAGAATGATAGCACCCACAGGCAAAGAGGAGAAGGAAACAGGTTTTAAGAGAAAGATGGTACAAGGAACACGTAACAAGAGGTTCAAAGGGAGAGTGAAAAGAGGCATAAAGGACCATTTTAAGATCCCAATCTGGTACAACAAGGGGCATGGAGGACGAGCAATATAGAAAGATCGGAAAAGAGGGAAATGACATGAGAGGAGAAAACATTATGCAACCAGGAAAAACAGAAGGTATTCAACAGGGGTACCCAATAAGTGGACACAGTTGAAATGGTCAAGCCCTGGTCAAACAACAAGGTGAAGAATTGGGAAAGATGAGGAACAGAAGCCATGGCAAAGAGACCAACACCACTGGTAAATAGTCAAGGAAGAAGGTCAGATGGTTTGGGAATGGAAAGACGCTACATGAGGAGTCAGTCCTTGGGATGAGACAAGGAACTAGACAAAAGCCAAGTGTGAAGATGGAGTTTGGTGATGTCGGAATGAACAATGTCCAATTGAGGTTGATGAAAGAGAGAGAGTGGTAAGATCAGGTGATGTTGCACAAGTAAAGGTCAAAGCAGAGGAAACCAAGGCTGTGAGGCCAATATGGAGCAACCAACAGGTCAAGACAAGGAGTGGTCTGGATGGGGGATAGAACTTTGGAATGTAAGAATAGATGTGAAGACCTGTCCAATCCTGACTGAACACTACTACACCCAGAGTTAATGAGTATGGAATGGGAGACCAAAAGGAAGGAAGTTTGGTGTTTCAGTATGTGGCAAAGGCATCGATAAGCTGTGCTCCTAGTTGAGAATACACCCACCGAAAAACCTATGGAAGAAAGGACCACTTCATGAGATAAACCTGGTTGGGATGAGATAAACAATCAGCAACCAGATTTATGGTTTCAGAAACATGGCAATATATCACCACCATGTTGTGATCATGGGTCCAGAGTCTGAAAACACAGAGATCTGTATTTGGTTCCACATTGCTTGGTGATACAATTGATGACAGTGAAATTGTCTGAGTGGACCATAACCATCCACCCCTACAGGAGCAGAAGGAAATGGGTCCAAGCCTGACAGACTGCTAAATGCAGACCACAGACCAGAAATCTCTTGAGAGTTGGGAATAGTCCCCAACTCACCAAAGATGCATCCCTGAAGAGAGGTGATTCTGAAAGAGGTGGAGGAAAGAGAACCCCCACCATGGTCTGATCCCTGTTGAGGCACCAAGCTAAGTCTGCCCCAATCACAGACAGAAGGGTAACAGGATGGTCCAATGGATCCAGGGAGAAGTTCCACTGAAGTGAATGCATATGAGCTTGACCCATGGGAATGAGAGCTTTGAAGGTAGCACACATCACAAAAAGAGATAGAACCTCTTGACCTGTGAGAGAAGGAAAGGTAAGTGCTTTTGTGACGGCCTATTCCATATCCACAAGACGAAGAAAAGAAGGACGGGCCCAACTGAGGTGTGAATTGAAGAAAACCCTCAAATGAATCGGTTACTGAGTGGGGGTAAGAATAGACTTCTCTAACTTGATCAGAAAACCCACCTATGCAACTTCCTGTAGAAGCTAATGTTTGTGATTCACTGATTTCCAACAGAAATAGGCAAGCAGGAGCCAGTCATCCATATAATGAGTGCAAAGACCCAGCAAGTGAAGGTGACAAACAAACCACTCAACAAAACATATAAGGAGCTGAACTGGAACCCTTATACGTTCAGAAATCACTTAACAAAGCAAAAAGTAAATTTTCTAGCTTCATATTACATTATAATGATATCTTCTCTAAAAGGGTTTAACCTCCTTAATCCTATGTGCACAGGTGGGCATTAAAGTGTGCAGTCCTTGACATTTTACAGAGACTGAAAGCATTCCTCCCTAACAAGTCCCAACAGCAAAAGAGCCAGGTATTGAATCCAATAAATGAGCCATGGTGGCCCAAAGGAGGGTCCTGAGCTTTCTGAAAAGACATCAGGAGATTGATGAAAGGCCTCATACATTAATTGGAGGGAGAAAATGTAGCATAAGAGTGAGGTCAGGGAAAGGTGAATCCTGGAAAATTGCACCTGATTGAAGCAGACAGAAGCCCCAGGATTCGAGCCCTATAAGGGAAGGAGAAGATCTAAATGCTGTGAATCCAAAAAGGAATTCAAGGCAGGATGATAAGCCAATGCATATTGATCCAACAAATATGGGGGATGGAGAATGTCTATACCCAACTGTAGTTGATCAAAGAATCTCTGAGAAAGAACACTAATGTGGGAAAAAGGCAGAAAAATATAATAATCGGAAGGTGGACTTTCACCCAATAATGCAAGGAAGGAATCATAGGCTATAGGGGAAACACCTAAAATATGACATACCTGATGGACAAGTTGTAAGAAGGGAATGGGAGGTGAAATGTCCTGAACAGGTGTGACAGACCATAAAAGGAAGGTGCCAGAAAATTAAGAATCCAAATTTTCTTCCTCGTGATGGTAGGCTGCCTCCTCAGAAACATGGTCAGGTAGACAAGGAGAAGAAATCGTAATCTCAACCCTGCAAACCAAAGCTTGAACTTCCTTAGCAGATAAAGTCGATCCCATGTCTTGGGAAGTCGTACCATGTGCGTTGTCATCTATGGCAGGAATATTGTCCGCCACATGAAATCTCGATTTCATATTAAAAATGTAGAATTCAGAAAAGAGAATTTAGTTGAATGCAAAATTGTAGAAACAATTAAAAACAAATGAAAAATTAAAAAAATTGTGAGATTAAACTTTGACTGAAAAGATAACAAAGCAAAATCAAAAACTGTAGTCACACTCGGAAAAATTAAACACACACATCTAAACTGTGTCATGCCACTCAAGAAAGTGAGGATTGAGTGGGAATAGCAGAGGGAGCTAGTTGTCCCATTATAGATGGTACAATACTACTGGTGGGGAGTAGTCACATGATATGTACATGTTCAGAAATGGCACGAAACTGGTGGAGTATAAAGACTGATGTGCTGATTACTAAAATATTTTTTAACAATGCTTTGAAGGCAGTCAACGGTCGAGATAGCATTTTGTGTGAGAGGAGGTAAGTCTGTTTCGGAACAACATGATATTGAGATTATAAAACTTTTGGCACAGCTAAGAATTGCTCAAAATTTTTTTCTTTTCACACATGATAAAGTAACTGTCACTGTACATGACTTTTGGATTCTTAAATGCTTGAGAACAAGTTTACTGTACATTGTGAATTTTAATGAAATTTTTTTCACTGTATAATTCTGTAAAATAATTATATTTGATAGTCAAGATTACTCTTACAATTTTTAATCTCTTTATATTTTCAATATTTTACAAAAATTGGTTCTACAGATTTATGTATAAACATATAACAATTAAAACTACAGCCAACATACTTGGAAATTGGTTCTCTTTTTGGAGACCTTGAACGTGAACGTCTTTTTGGTGTGCGAGATCTACGTTTTGGTGTCCTTGACCGCCTAGGAGAGCGAGAAACTCTCCGTGACCTAGAAGATCTGATGGGAGTCCTTGACCTCCATGGTGATCTTGATCTTCGACGTGGCATTGGGGAACGTGATCTCCTTCTACGTGGTGATGGTGACAATCTACGGCGACGACTTATGGAACGAGAACGGGAACGTCTCCGTTTTACTGGGGATACTGGAGACCTTCTTTTTGAGCGGGATCGAGAACGAGATACTCTCCGTTTACTGGGTGACTTTGATCGCTTCCGAATACTAGGAGATCTAATAAACAATATATTTCAATAAAACTAACTTAATATTATTCAATATGCAAATAAACTAAACTAGAAATATTCAACTACTAATGTCTCAACTAATAACTATATGCTAAACAATGATGCTCTTAAAGTACCAAAAGGAAGCAACATTAACATAGTACAAAAATATTAAATTCACTATAATCAAGAAATTGATATATAATCTGTTAAAAATGGGTTTTAATTTTGCAACACAATATGAAGATGGTAAAAAATTACACCTTGACTTTCTTAAACGTCTGGCCTTCTCTGGTGATTTTTCCTTTTTCTTCTTTTCCTCAATTTCGTGATCACTAAAATAAAGATGTTAAAGAACAATAACATGAATTTTTAAGATGCAAAAAATTACATGTTATACTACAAGCCTGTAATATAGTTAATAAACATAATATTAATGACTTGATTGTTTGGTAGCAAAATTAAGTCAAGAATGTTATTAAAACAACCCTACTGAAGTTCTAAATACTTAATATGAAAGTCTTGAAAATTGTTGTCACTTGTTACTTGGAGAACGAATTTTATGTTAATGTATAATCTCCAAATAGTCATATACATTATACATGTATATATATCTATATAGGCACTGTTCTACTTTTATATGTTCAGAAATCACTTAACAAAGCAAAAAGTAAATTTTCTAGCTTCACACTACATTATAATGATTTCTTCTCTAAAAGGGTTTAACCTCCTTAACCCTATGTGCACAGGTGGGCATTAAAGTGTGCAATCCTTGACATTTTACAGAGACTGAAAGTGCCACTCAACATGGTATTATGTATTTGGTGTCAGAGTTATCAACTACTCATTTTACCCTACATTACTGATTTAGTGACAATTCATGGTAAAGAAGAGTAAATATCAAATAATAATATAGAGGAATATGGACAACTACTCTAGAGATGCATTTCAGAGGTCTTGAAAATGCAATATACAAACCTGAATTCAAATTTGATAACAAGGAACACACTTTTTAAAAATAAAATTTGGAGACAGCTTGAAAGGGTAGTGAAAGAAACTTTATTACAAATGTACAACACAGAAGTGAAACTATTGAAACTAAGCACATACATACTTTCTTTGAAAACAAACTCCATTCATTCAAAAATTAAATTAACTATTTAACATGAAAATAAGGACCAGTTATCTTTTCTTAACTTTGCTATTATTAGACTAGACACATAGTTCAAAACCAAAATTCACCAAAAAATCACTCACACAGGCTTCTACATCCCCTCTGGAATTCCACCCATGATTCCAAATAAAAAAATCAATATATTAAAAAACCTTACAACCACAGTTTAAAGACTTTGCTCAACTGACTACACAGATGAAGAAATCAACTTTATAAAGCAATCTCTCATTCACACCAATAAATTTCCACCAACTATTGTCAAAAATTTTCACACAACTACTAGAACAAAAACTCAAACAAAATTGACATTAATACAGCAAACACTACGCTGCAGTTTACCACTCATCCTTGATTTCAGTTCAAAAATAATACACACTTGGAGAAAACATGCATTTAAACATACAATTCCTGTTAACGTCAAACTCACTCAAAATTCCAACCTTAAACTAAAGTCAATATCTAAATAAAAATTTTGTGGAATCGGACAATACTGTCATTTATAAAATAACATGCAATATCTCTCTACAATTCAATGTCACAGTAACTGGAAGAAAACTAGAAACTAGATTAACCAAACATAATAACCCCCCCCCCCCATGTTTACTTTACCACAATTGCAACTCAAAAAACAACATTATATCTAAAAAATACTGCAATTTTAAAGAAAGAACCAAACGCTAACTGAAGAAAACAACCCTACTCTCAACCAACACCCTGGGGTACCAAGATACCTTTACTAAGTTGTTAAGCAATCTTCAATCAGGTGATGACTTCATTCCCTACTGTATATAAGTATTCAAATGTCTATGTAACCTACTTGTACTGATGATGACATAAGTTTGTTGAAACATTGTACATTTGTAATAAAGTTTTTTTCACCACCCATTCGAACCATCTCCAAACTTTAATATGCAAACCCGTATGATGAATAAACAGCATTTTTATCCTTCATATGAATATCAACTTGTACTCCTAATTACTAGAATCTGAATCAGACTGATGTTGGCAATTTACAGACAAATCTTCAGTACTTTTGTAAAACGTGATTCTTTGTGCACAACATAACTGTACATTCTACTCAAAGCTTATCATATTTCTTGTAGATACATGTAATAAATTTGGAATTATAGTCAATATTTTCTCTCCAATACAAGGTTGGTGAACATGGAACTCACATTACCATATTGAATTATGTAAGGAATGGTCTATTTATGAGCATACCTCGTGAAAAATTACTATTATTAATTTTCTTTATTTTATCTAATTTAACCTTACCTAACTTGAAAAGTTTCTTATTTTTACATTTTAGTTACTTTTATAACAGTAAATAAAGAATACACATGAAGATAAAAAATATAGTACTTAATTGGGTCGTTTTTTTCGTTATTGACAGTTGATGAAACTTAACCCTACTTTTTTTTTTATACTAATGGTATTATTGCCCTAAATAATTTTTAGTTAATTAAGTAATGCACCTAAAAACACAAAATAGTAACATGTAAAAAGTAGACACTGCCCTATAACTATCATAATTTTTCTGGCTTTCTATTTATGTAATAAGAGTTGTTCAAAATTCAGCTAAGCTTCCCAATGTGTTTCCCATGAGAATAAAGTTAGAAGTGGAAGCGAAACAGACAATTCTCTGTAAGGAAAACAATATAATGTAATAAGTCCTTTGACAGACTAAAACATTGGCTTTCTATTGGTTATACATAATATAGTATTAAAAATCAGACAAAACTATTAGCAATCTGTGAAATAGAGGATGTGACAGGTGGATCAGGCAATAGGGCTCCAATTTTCTATTTTATGGCTGTGTAACTAAATAAGATTGAAGGCTAGGAAAATTATGCTTTGCCTGAGTAATAAATATTTTATGATAAGTAATTTAAGTTAAATTCCATACTTCTTGGAGGGGTGGTAAATAAATTAGAGAAGAGGACCCAGAGACCAAATATCACAATTCTCATACTGTGGAAAACTAATATATATTTTTTTAAATATTGTCTTATAAAATTTAGAACTTGATACTTATATAATATTAAAATTTGAATTATTAGCTACATTTTGATGCCAGATTTATTTGTATACCATGATAGTGTGTGTTTGTTTGCAAAAGTTATTACCTCTCATCTTTAGTCTTTTGTTTTTCTTCATCTGGCTTATCAGTTTCCTTTGTCTGATCCTCAGCAGGCTTCTTATCATCTAAAGGTTCTTTTTCCTCAGGAACTTTATCTTTAGTTACAGGAAGTTCTGGACCTTCTTTACTTTCACTAGTAGTCTCTTTCGGTACTTTTTCTAAAACTTCATCTTTTTTATCAGATTTTTTCTTATCTTTATCTTTAATTTTCTCAGAATGACTATCTTCTTTGCTTTTAGATGATTTACTGGACTTGCTCTTGATAGGAGATCTTGAACGAGACCTTGAACCAGATTTGCTTCGAAGTGACTTCTTTTTACTTTCTCTAATAAATATAATATTTTAGTTACAAAGTGTAATATAGTTTGAAAAAGAAGCAATGTATACCAAATTATTCAAACACAGCAAATTTTAGCATTCTTCAAATCTGTAAATACAACTCTCTGCCCTCATTAACTCTAATTCTCACAAATGTGATTCTGATATGTAGGTAAGAGTAGAAAAAATAAATACATAAGAAAACTATTATTTATATTTCACTGGAAGGAACTTTCTTCAATGTTTTTCTGTCAGTATTATTAGCTAATAATACTGACTTGATATACTCAGTTGCAAATTTTTATTAAAATAATGGTTCTTGATAAGGAATGTAATATATCATGTTACAATACTTCAACAAGTATGGTTTATATTTAAGAGTACTCGCAACTTGTAATGTCAGACTTAGAGAACAGTTACACTGATACAATAAAACACTACTACTAAAAATATTTCAGGTGTTTTTATATCACAAAATACTTCAAAGTAAATTTATTTTATATTAAAATGTGAAAAAGATATACAAAAAGTACTTTTTGTTTAAGAACTAAGATACATATTCACATATTGTTGTAATTTTATGGATGACGTCCAAGATCCATTTTAATATTCCCAAATATAAAAATGTTTGTTCATTGTTAAGTACAAAACTACACAATGGGCTATTTGTGCTTTCTGCCCACAATGGGTATCAAAACCTAATTTTTAGCATTATACTCCATCAGATTTACAACAACAAAATTCTGTGGTATATTAAATGTATGTTACATACATGCTGACTGAAATTATCATCTTTAATATCACATTTCTTATAGTGACTTCTGTACCTAAAACTGGGAAATGGACTACCTTAAACATACAGAAAGATATACAGCATCATTATGAATGAAACAGAGCAGAAAATGTATTGTTTAATCCATTTGTGTGTTAGTCTCTCAGTTAACTTTTCACAAAGGGAAATATTGCAAACCATCATCTTTAAAGACTCACAATGATGGTAGAGACAGTGAAACTGCATGCAGTATTATTTGATTCAAAATGTACATAAAATTTAGTTTTATAAAATAAAAATTTATAGGAAAATTTTACAAGAAGTTAGGAAGACATAAAAATCAGTAATTAAGATGTAAAACAAAGGTAAGGATTTTTAACCATTTCTTAAAAACAAATCAAAATGAAATGTCTTTGAATTTTCAAACCAGCAACTTCATACAAATATTATATATGAATATAAGACATTTTATTTGTTTTTCTGTAATTTCAAACTATTTTATCCAGTAATACTGTTTCACAATGCAATGAAACATACAACATAAAAGGTGAGTCAAATCTATGCATTCAGATGCGACATAGTTAATGAGGACAAAGAAAATACAAATTTAGAGTTAAAAGGTATTTTCACATTTTTTACAAACTGTGGGCAAAATACCACATATATAATGGTAGTACTCCATCTTTATAAACTACTATTTGAAAATCTTTTGAAAAGAACATGTTTATAAATTCATGTAACAGTTAGTGAATAAAATACATAACAACAACATAATGCAAAATGTAAAAAACTGAACCAGCCTTGTCATATATCAAGAGAAAACAAGTCAAGAGGTTCAGAAACCTAATTAGACAACATCCAAATTCTCTGCCATAAAGAGCATTCAATAGAAAGGTAACGGATAGAAAGCAAAAGGGCAACCACGCAGACAGTGGATTGAAGGCGCCTTTAATGACCTTGGGAACAAGACAAAGCAGGAGGCGACTTATTGTTGTGGTTGTTTTGAATTTCGCGCAAAGCTACAAGAGGGCTATCTGTGCTAGCCGTCCCTAATTTAGCAGTGAAAGACTAGAGGGAAGGCATCTAGTCATCACCACCCACCACCAACTCTTGGGCTACTCTTTTACCAATGAACAGTTGGATTAACTGTCACATTATAATGCCCCCACAGCTGAAAGGGTGAGCATGTTTGGTGGGACAGGGATTCAAACCCACGACCCTCAGATTGCGAGGCTGGGCTTAGGCAAACAAGTGCGAAATATACCATTCCTTGTGTCTCCCTTCAATGGTGCAAGGCATCAGTGGAAGGTGAAATGAATGGTGATGATCAAATGAACAGTATGAATGAATATTTCTTAGATTAAATAATAAAGATAATAAAAAACTTTAATAATAATTCATAATAAATGCTGTTTACCTACTACGGCTTCTATCTCTACGACTACGTGGTGGGGTTGATTTTTTCCGAACTCTATCTCTGTAGTAAAAATACAGATAGATTTGATATTAATTTATTAATGAAACATTACAAATAGTAAATTTAAAATAAACTATGTTATTTCTGTTCGACTTAAACTAACAATTAATTTTAATCATATTCTATTCTTTTAACTATTTGACCTATCTGAGGTCATAATTCTAACATAATTTTTTATCAGAGCATAAATTTAGGAATTAGCTTTCACTGCATTTTTTACTCTGTGGTATCTAAAAACACATTAAGAATACTGAGATTATGTAACAGTTCATTACAATACATTTAGTTTTAATACATGATTCTAAACAACATTTTTAGGGTATTGTGATATGAATGCACATCCAGATTAATGCCAAAAATGTGTTTATATAACACAAATTGTGAATATAAAACCATTTCATAAATGACTAAGGACACATCTGTGATGAATCAGTTTTATTTAATTTTGACTACTTTATTGTAGATGTCTCAAGGCTCAATTGAATGTTTAAATTTATTTACAAAAGAACACTCAATGATGTTATACATTATGTATGTTGAAATACTGTTGTTATGTTAATGTTAACCCTTTTGCCACAGGTATCCCTTTAACTATCTCAATACAGGTTCAGTCAATTTGACTGACCACGTGACCTCTTTGTACTCGTTTAAATTCTTTATATATTTAATACTTCTAACTTTTAATATAGTGTGTATATCTTTACAAAATTTGGCAGTCTTTCAGTTAATATTATAAGTCTTTAACATACAGAAAATCACATTTTTTAGGGAAATATTTTTTCGTAAAATAAAATAAAAAATTTGTCCACAAATATATTGAGCATTTCTTTCAACAGTCTGTGGGCAAGTAATTTTCATTTAAAAATTAAAAATACTTTTCCTTATCTCAAAAATCTCAAATTTCCTTTGTGTAATCCCTAAAACCTCCTATGTACTTCAAACTTTTTTTTCAGTAAAACATTATAGTTTATCTCTTATTTTCTCTACCCTATCTCAAAATGGGAATGGTCAATTTGACTGACTTCATAACCACCACACACACGTACACACACAAAAAAAATCAATTGAAATAATCCTAAATTACCCCTTTTTTCTTTCTAGAATGACTTGAACTTGTAATATTAAACTACATTTGTTTATCCTAAGTAGCTCTATGTTCGTAACAGTATACATCTATTTATGATTAAATTTTATTGCTTTATTGCCCTTTCAACCATGTCTAACTACTGTCCGTACCATTATAAGTTGCAAATCACCCGGGAACATGCAGCTCACGTTACACTAATGAATTACATTACCCACGAGCTGCTCACATGTGTGCCTCGTGAAACATTGTTATTATAATATTATTATTATTTATTTTACCTAATCTAATCTTAACAAACCTAAAAGGATCCCTATTTTTACGTTTTAGTTACTTTTGTAATTATACATAAAGAATAAACATGAAAAACAAAAAATAAATTAAATAAGATAGTAATGCACTTAATAATTTTTATTTAAATAAATAATACACCAAAGAATATAGACTAATAACATTAAAAAAGTAGACGAATTCCCTTATCTCTAAAAAAATTTCTGGCTTTCTAACTATGTAACAAGAGAAATTACAAATTCATCCAAGCTAGTCATTAATGTTCCCATGGGAACAATGTTGGTACTCTGAGTGTAATTTACATCAAACTGTTCAGAACACAATGTTATACAATATGTCATTTTATAGTTGTAAACCTTGACTTTCTATTGGTTATAGATAACATACAATGAAATGTAAGAGAGAACTATCAACGAATTCTGAAAGAGAGGATGTGACAGGAGGGGTCTGATTTTCTATTCGATAGCTCTGTAACGAAACAAAGTTAAAAACTATAAAAATCATGGTTTGTTTGAGCAATAACAGTTTTATAGAGAGTAATTTATGTTTAATTTCAGATTTTTTTTAGGGGTAGTGGATAAAATAGGGAAGATGACATGCTAAGAAAAAATGTATCAAATGGGTTACACTATTAGAAATTCAGGATTTTTTTAAATATTGCATTGTATAATTAAGAACTTAAAACTTGTATACTATTAAAATATGGATCATTAGCTAAGATTTTATACTATACTAATTGGTATAACATAAACAAAAAGTAGTTTAATAAAATTTTGAATGTAAGACACTAAAACCTTGTGTTACACAGTAAAGGATACCTGTGGCAATAGGGTTAAACACTTTTCTGTGCAAGTCACTGTGTTAAAAAAAAATTTTACCTGCTCCGACTGCGGGTTCTTCTACGAATACGTGGGCTTGGAGACTTTTTCCTTTTATCCCTTGAAAAAAAGACAATAGTTATATTCTTTATTATGAAAAAAAATATTAGTTGCTTTTGACAGAAACTTTATTTTCCTAAAAACATTGAAGCAATACCAACTATAAGGCTTCTCTAGTCATAATAATTGCTTCTAAAGCTAGCTAAGAATGAGTGTCACTTGAAAATATGAAGAAAAAAAAATAAAGATCATTATCTGTAAATGTTTACTACTATAAACTTTGAAAATAATGTTTATAATTTATGTAAAATATGAAGGAACTACATACAGTGATAATTAATTTTTAGGTTTACTTAGGATTGATGAAACACAAAATAACCTTGATCTTGATCGAGAATGATGATCTTTAGACCTGACTGGGGACTTTCGACTACGTGAACGTGAACGATGATGTGATTCCCGCCTCGATTTAGATATTGATCTTCTTTCTTCTAGAATGATAAAAGCTTAATTTATATTTATTTCCTAATTTTTTATGGTGGGTACGAGGTCAGTCAAATTGACAAACCCCATATAGCGTTAGGGTAGAGAAATTAATAGAAATTATAAAGTTTTACTGAAAACAAACATTTGAAATGTATTTAGGAAGTTGTAGAGATTACACTAATGATATTTGAGATTTTGGGGATGAAAAATATTTTTTTAATCATAACATGGAAATCAGTTCTCACTCAGACTAGTTACATAACAGTTTGATGTATTCACAAACAAATCTTTAGTAAAAATACTTCATTGAAAAATCTGAATTTTTGTGTATAAAAGACTTGTTATGTTTACTAAAAGTTTACCAAATTTTGTGAAGATACACATACTGCATTAAAAGTTATAGTATAAATACTTAATGTGTGCAAATGTGTATATGAACTAGTGTATTATATACCGAGCCTGTCACAAAAGGGTTAATGTGGTGAATCTTTTTTTCTTGTTTCCTTTTGTTGTTATCATGTTGTGTACAGTGAAGGACAGCAAGTCCTGGTGTTCTGAAATATTTTTGAAGTACATAAAACAAAAGTAAAAATTCAGCATGGAATGTTACATTTTATTTATATATTTTCAAACTATGACTTTTCTCATTAAAAAGTGATCAAAAGCAGTATGAAATATTAGATTTTTATCTTACAGAATTAGCTGAAAAAGAAAAGAGTAAAAGCCGATCAAGGTCTCGCTCCAGGTCCCGTCACTCACGATCCAGATCACGGTCGAGAAGGCAATCGAAATGACTACAAATTATAACACAAAAACACAAATGTTTAGCTAAATAACTTAAATCTCATAAAGTTATTTTGTAAAACACAGTCACATTTCAATTATTATACATATGTATATAGATTATTATTATTATTTAGAAATAAGTTCTTAAACTTATTTTTCTTAAAACATAGAACAGTAAATAAAAAATTAAAGCAAACAATTATCTCTTCTAGTTGTGATCTTTGTACTTGTTTGCTGCTTGTTGTAAGTTGCTCAGCCTTATAAAATTTTGCATGCTTTTGCATGCACATTGTAGATTTTCCAGTTAGGTGATGTTATTAGAAAGATACTTTTCTTTCTTACTTGGCTATAGCAAACATATTGTACTTGTTATATATATTATATATATTGACACAGATTAAGCTGTTACTTAACTGTTACCATTTTGTTGCAACTGATGAAGTTGTTCCACATTAACTGTATAATGGTTACAATTTGTCTTTGTTCATTCACTTTTAACTTATATTCTGTGCAATTTGTACATCTTTATGTCTCCTATGCCAATTCTAATCTACAGACAATAGTATCTCAATATAACACCATGAGCGTTCCTTAACTTTGTTTAAATATTAAAACAGCTTTAAGAAATCTCAGTATGGCAGACAAACGCCTGTTACAAAATATAAACTATTAACATGGAGAGAAACCATATGTAATTCATTTTGTCAACACTTACAAGGCCATAATGTGAGCCTTAAATAATACCTTGCAGAATAACAAGGACATATTATTTTCTATGCGTCTGAGACAAGTCTAACTATTCAAGATCATCTTTAGTACCAACCACTTTACTGAAATATTTACTTTCTTCTACACTAAGACATGCCTTTTATTAGTCTGGTACATGACCTTTATTACACTATCAGTTGCATAGAGCAAAATGGAGGGTCCTCCCCACAAAAATCATGTTTGGGGCCCCCTTGACATTTTGACAAAAACTGAATGTACCAGATGTACATGTGCTGGATGTACTCTGAGCTCGGGCCTTCCACACCACAGGGTTTGTGGGGGAATTTACTATGCCACTGTACACTTTGCTGTGTTCTACTTTACAGGGAAATGTCTTGTTATATTGAGATATTTTTCTTTATACAAGTTGTACATAATCTATACTGAACATTTGGCAAAATTTAAATTCAATGCAAATTTGGCAAACAATATAACCTTTTCATTAGTTCGTAAAAGGCAAATTCTAACTTACATTTATAATAATAAAATATTTATGAGATATTTTTATCTACTGAAAAATTAGGTTTAGATTAAAAAAAATAAAATCCCGAAAAATTAGAGCAATTACTTCAGTTAACAGCCTACACATAAATATACTGTATCTTTTTTCACATGTAAATAAACCAAAACTATACTATATGTTGGTTTAATGAAATAGTGCCTATTAATAAAAGTTTAGTATATGTACACAACATTCATCTTACCTGGTTCAATTGCAGCTGTTATAAGTGATTGTGCTTCTCTTACTCTTTTCATTGCCTCCTCAATTTCCCTTTGTGCAGCTTCTGAACTCTTAGCTTGAGGTTTCACAATTGCATTGTTTGAATGATTGATTCTAAAAAACGGAAATATTGATCATGTTATTAATAGTGTTTGTATAATTGTTTTTATAAATTATCTAACAAGAAATATAGTCTAAACAACCCTGTATTATAAAAACAAGAACTTCCCTAATGCCTACAAATGCACTGATACTGACTGAAAACTCTACAGAAAATGCAAAAATTCAATGTCTTATGTGAGTCTTCACATGTATCAAGAACTCCATTAATAATAAATGGTTTCAGAAACTAAAAGGTTATGTAACTCAACATTCAGTATAAATCATGGAATTATATTTTCTGTGTGTATGTAATAAAATTATATTACTGAAGATGGTCTTGCTTTATTGAAGAGTAAATGATGAATTTAACCAAGAAAAACAATTCCTAGTATATAAAGTTAACCTTTTCCTTACCTGAAAATGTATTCCAGATAAATACTCACCTCTCTGCACCACCAAGATCTATTATTTTGCATGCACTGCTGTGTAATTTTCTGTACACCTTGAACAACGCTCACACCCTTACACATGTCAATGTGAATTGTGCAGCTTATGATGTAATCCCCATTAAACCACATCCTTCTACCAATAGGAGGACAAAACGTCCTTCATGTTCAGTAATCCCCCATGAATGCTAGCATATGAACAAAGACTTATTTTGAGAAGGCAAACTAAATGCACTGTAAGAGGGGAGGAATAGTAAGGGGGTGGTACAGAGAGGTGAGAATCTATCCGAAATACATTTTAAAGTAAGGAAAATGTTACCTTCCAAAAAGCTATTCATCTCTCTGTACTACCAAGAGCTAGAATCACACAATGAAGATGGTGGACGGGCCAATGCAGAGAAATTACAAAGATGAGCTCCTTTCAGAAAACAACATCAGAAAGGGAGAGCTCATGAAATGTTACATCCAAGAGGCAGGGGGTAACACTTGGTGGGAGACTGCATTTATCTCAAGCAGGGAATACTCTTCACCCAACAGAGGTGGTAGAGCAAAGATATTGTCAGAATAATCTTTTGCTGGGTGCTTATGTTTCATTAAAGTGGCAGAATGGCAGATTGCTCAACCGTTCATTACTGCATAGGACGACAGCTGAGATGATTGTGTAGTGTGGCTAGGCAGCAAGTAAGCCCATTCCATATTAGAAAAATAATTACATAAGATACTCACCACAAAAATCAGGTGTACGGAGTAGCACCCAAGTCCTGTGTCCTGAGGTGAACCCAAGACCAATCCCGTTGAATCTGACCACTAGGAATGGCTTAGTTCATAATGTGGTGGGGTGTCCTGTACTATATTACCAGGTAACATCTCAGCTCTGCAGACTAAATGTTATAAAGAGATCAGACATCCAGAACTGAAGCTTTCCAGAACATAGACAGTGAAAAGCCATGGTCATAGGATTGGTTGGTGTCAAACATAAAACCAACATAAAGTGCATGTGCTATGCTCACAAAGGATATGAAAAAGAAAACAAGGCACATACCTTATTCATATTTTTGTTTTAACACTTCACAAGAGTTATCCAATACTTTCATGGCAGCTGAAGACAGTGAAAGTAAATGATATTGTCATCATTGTGCACCACGTGATTGTTTCCATTCAGATCTTGTATTCTGAATTCTCGACCTCTTGTTTCTATTACTTCAGCTGTGCCTGCCCCATCTTTGCTTCTCGTTCCCTCCTCTCAGTGTAGATCAGGTAGTCCTACTTTTGTCCTTTACTGCTTGGATTCCAGCATAATCAATTTAATCTGTGAAACTGATGTTTTGGTGGTCCATTATAGTAAAATACATACTTTTCTTTATCAGCCATAAAGAAAATGAGCCAGGTATGGTAATGGTGCATAGGTCTAATTACCACCTTGAACAGTACTGGACAAAATCTGTATGTTGGAATAAACAATGGGACACATGTCCAAAAGTACAAATTTGATTAAAAGATAATCAAATAGGAGATAATTCAAGGAAAGTTTTAATTGAAACATTTAGTATTGTTCTTTCATATAACCAAGAAAATTAAGGAAAAACTACACAACAAATAGTAATGAAAGGTTAACTCTTTCAGCACGGGCTCGGTTCCTGAGACCAACCTCGTAACCATTTTGGGCTTGTTATAGCTTTCATCCTATACCTTTTAAATTAGTAAGTGTCTGTTAATGAAATTTGGCAGATTATCAATAAACATTACAATGCTTTCATATGCAAAATATAATTTTTTTTATTAAGTCTTAAGGTTTGTCAAGCAATGTTTTTCTTATGCCTTTTTTTTTCTTTTCACATGTTACCCATCCAACATACAAAGTAATTTTCATTTTAAGATTAAAAATACTTTTATGCATCAGAATACGTTCAAATTTTGCATGCAAAATCTTTATTATGTCCAGATAGTTATCAAACATTTCTTAAGAAAAACTTTATATTTTATATGTTATTTTCAGTAACGAATCTCTGTACAGGTACAATAGATTTGACTGATCTTGTAACCATCATAAAAAATTAGGAAATAAATATAAATTATGCCTCTTTCATTCTAGAATGACAATAAATTATAACACAAAAACATAAATGTTTAGACTAAATAGCTTAAATCTCATAACATTATACATTCATTTATTATTTTTATTATACCAACCTTTCAGCAATGCCTGGCTAACAATACAGAAATTACAATGACACGGCACGTGCTCTCATGTTACCATATCAAATATTATAAAACTGACCTTTAGTCTTTACAAAGTAACCTGTCTTGGGCGTGTTTTAGTAAACTAGTATTTCAATTATTACACATTATATATGTATATAGGTTATTGCTATTTAGAAATAAGTTCTTAAACTTATTTTTCTTAAAACATAGAATAGTAAATAAAGAAGTAAAGCAAACAATTATCTATTCTATTTACGACCTTTGTACCCCATTGCTGCTAAGCCTTTTAAAATTTCACACATGGAGGATATGAAACGAAATAACTTTTTTAAGGTTTCATATATACAGTTGAATAACCAAAAAATCATAAATTACTCATCAATACCATAGAATTCCCCTATAATTTATCAAGTAACTAAGATGTATTTGGATCTAAATAAATATAATATTTTGAGCAGACTAAAGACACGACCTACCTCCTTGAAATTTTGGTTCGAAAGAAAGACATGGCATCCTAATATATTAAAATGATTGTGAAAGCCATTAGGGAGACATTCTGAAATTTTGAATGGCTATTCACATGTCATATATTGAAGTAAGTGTATATAAGGTACCGTTTACAAAAAATGGAATGAGGTGAATGGGGCCAATGTGTTTGATTCATTGCATAAGTAATATATCAGCAAAGAGAAAAGACAGAAGGTTCTTATTTTATATTCTAGCTTGTCAATATTGGTAATTTGAGGTCCAAATTCATATAAAACTGTAGTTTTAGTATTTTGACATCACAAACATCTAATTTGAACCAGTGCTGCATTCTACATACCATGTAACACATAGAAATCAATGTGTAACTGTGTTTTTAAAATTTACTTTTAAATTAAGAAATTAAATAATGTATAATACTAAAATTTGAATTATAATCTACAGTTTGATACTAAACTTATTGACACAAATTCATGAAATACCAGTTCAATAAAATTTTGATTAAGAGTCAACAAATGCAATGACATGGCCTTTGACCTGTGACCTCCCTGGAGAGGACTAAAACAATAACCACAAAAATGCAGGTAAATCTAAAACAAAAACATGTTTGATGATTACCAGTGCCAAGTAAATAAATGAGTCTGTGTTAAGGTGCTAATACTCCTGGTGATTAATACACAAGGAGAATATGCTGCCCTCCTATTAACCCTATCACCACTGGTATCCCTTACTGTGCATGAAACAAGGTTTTAGCATCTTACATTCAAAATATTATTAAACTACTTTTTGTTTATGTTATACCAATTAGAATAGCATAAAATCTTAGCTAATAATTCATATTTTAATAGTATACAAGTTTAAGTTCTTAATTTTACCAGGCAATATTTAAAAAAATCCTGAATTTCTACTAGTATGACCCACATGACACATTTTCTCTTAGCATGTCATCTTCCCTATTTTATCCACCACCCCTAAAAACAAATCTGAAATTAAACATAAATTACTCTCTATAAAACTGTTATTGCTCAAACAAACAATGATTTTTATATTCTTTAAATTTGTTTGGTTACAGAGCTTTCAAATAGAAAATCAGACCCCTCCTGTCACATCCAACCTTTCAGAATTTGTTGATAGTTCTCTCTTACATTTCATTATATATTATCTATAACCAATAGAAAGTCAAGGTTTATAACTATAAAATGAGATATTGTATAACATTGTGTTCTGAACAGTTAGATGTCAATTTCACTCAGAGTACCAACATCGTTCCCATCAGAAAGTTAACGACTAGCTTGGATGAATTTGTAACAGCTCTTGTCGCATAGTTTGAAAGCCAGAAAAATTTTGAGAGGTAAGGGAATTTGTCTACTTTTTGAATGTCATTAGTCTATATTATTTGGTGCATTATTTAATGAAATTAAAATTATTAAATGCATTAATATCTATAGTATAAAAAATTAGGGTTAACTCTCTTTGAAAACCAACAGCAGGAAAAAAGAAGATTGATTATGTATTTTATTTCTTGTTTTTCATGTTTATTCTTAATGTATAATTGTTAAGATTGGATTAGGTAAAATAAATAATATTACAATAAAAATGTTTCATGAGGCACACATGCAAGCAGCACGTGGGTAATGTAATTTGTTAGCGTAATATAGGCTGCACATTCCTAGAGTGATTTACAACTTATAAAGGCACGGATAGTATTTAGACACGGTTCAAATGGCAATAAAGCAATAAAATTTAATTATAAATAGATGTATACTGTTACAAACATAGAGCTACTTAGGATAAACAAATGTAGTTTCATGTTACAAGTTGAAGTCATTCTAGAAAGAAAATAAAGGGTAATTTAGGTTTATTTCAATTTCTATTTTGGTGGTTACGAAGTCAGTCAAATTGACCGATCCCGTTTTGAGATATGGTAGAGAAAATAAGAGATAAACTATAAAGTTTTACTGAAAAAAAAATACGTTTGAAATGCATTTAGAAGGTTCTAGGAATTATACAGAGGAAATTTGAGATTTTTGAGATGAGGAAAGGTTTTTTTAATTTCAACATGAAAATTACTTTGCAAATGGACTATTCAAAACAAATACTCAATATATTCATGGACAAATCTACATTTTATTTTATTAAAAATACTTCCCTAAAAAAGCCATAATATTAACTGCCAAATTTTGTAATGATATACACATTATATTGAACGTTAGAAGTATTAAATCTATGAAGACTTTAAACGAGTACAAAGAGGTCATGTGGTCAGTCAAATTGACTGAGACTGTGTTGAGAGAGTTAATGGAGGGTTATAGTTTAATAATGATTAAATCAGAGGCTGGTGTAATACACATTGACATGTGTAGGGATGGGAGCTTTGTTCAAGGCTTGTGCAGGAAATTACACAGCAGTGTGCACAAGGTAATACCTCTTATTGGTGCAGAGAAGTAAATAGCATTTCTGAAACAAATTTTTTGTATCTGATTATATATATATGTAAAATAAATACATCTATACATATCTAGAGAGAGGAATTAAGCAATTTTCTTGACAAGTTGCACTGACTTTGAGCTTCTCAGTTTTTTTGTTTTATAGCTTACTTTCCTTGACTGCCATATTTTAACTCAGTCTTACAGAGAAGACAGCAGGCCTTTCTCGCATCACACAACTTTGAAATAAATTTCCCAACAATATTCCCATTTATTTATATGTCTAGCCACTTCCAGTTCTACCTGTTTTTCATACTTTATCAATTTCTTTTATATTCGACTGTCAGTCAAATAGCCTCAGCATTTTCAAGTCCCAAAATGCTAATGGTGGGAGCAAAGAGAAAGCATACACAAAGCAGTATAGTAAAAGGCGGAATAATGTTTCAGTAGCCAATCAACCATCAAGTAACACAAAGCAGTGGCTGTAGCAAACCAAAGCATCACAAGCCTGAATGAGTTTCCCATTACATAATGCAAAAAAGTGACCTACAGAATCGGAAAAAGTAGAAATCTCCAGAAATGCAGAATTTTCTCATGACTATACCAAGCAAAAGTTATAAATCCTTTAATAAACAGATTCATTTTGTGTTTTAAAAACTTATCTAACATCCAACATTTCTGTTATTAAATATCCATCTTAGTCATTATATGCAAAACTTCACCTATTTGTACAATACTACTCACTTCAATGGTCTGCCACCAAAAATTACTCCATTATACTGGAGAGCATTAGCCACAGAAGCCTGTTCAGTGAATTCCACAAAAGCAAATCGAGTGGGTTGTGTTTCATCTCCTGCCATGCGTACATACTTCACCTCTCCTATCTGGTTGAAAAACTTCAACAGTTGCTCAGCTGTCAACTAAATAAAAGAAGTTACAACTTCAATAAAATTTAGATTTATACTAAAAATATTTACCTAAGATAATATATTCTAAAGGTATTATTGGTAGCTCACACTTTAAAATATCCACACAGCAAAGGCCAGTATAAAAAAAGTTTTCAATAATATAACTCACGGTAATTTTAATAGATGAATAGTGTATTTCAAAAATAAATATTCTTTATGATGTATTTGGATTATTACCAGCCTTAAAAGTTTTTATTACTGTAACATTAATACCCACTTATAAACCCAAACAAGATTTAATTTATCCCTTACAGTAGAATCTAAGTTGCCACAGTAAACAGTGCGACGGATCTCTTCAATTTTTGTTGGGTCCATGTTTGCTGGCAGAGGAGGATATTGTGGAAGACCCAATGCTGTGAGACGTGGATCAACAGTGGTTATTACCTGGGTACCACCCACTCCTGTAACCTGATAATAAACAAAAGATATATTTATTTTTCTGAGAATAACAACAATAATAAAAACACAATAATATTTTTTTTCTCTACTATCTAACTTCATAAGTAAAATTAATCATGAGAAAGTTTTTATATAAAATTATACTGCTTATATAAATATTTTATTGTATAAAAGATTAAAATCATAACAATTAAGCTACTTTTTTGTTGCTTAACTTCTTATAAGTTTCATGGTTCCATGATTAATTAGTATTGCATGTAATATTAACAACAAAATTAATAACTGCAATAGTTTTGTATATATATATAAATATAACTGACAGAGCAGGAGATATAATAAAGGGGCTAGCAGAGATGTAGTTTTTGTGGTACATGTAGGGATTAATGTTGTAGGTAAAGGTAGGTCAGAAGCACTAATTAATAAGTACAAGGGGTTGATAAAGGCGTTTAAAGAAAAAGGCCATAACTTAATTTTGTCAGGTATACTGCCCAGAATTAGCTGTGGGGAAGAAGTTATAAGTAGGTCACTAGGGCTAAATGCCAGGCTTAGGTTAGTATGTAAGGATGAGCAGATTGGCTGGTTGGACTTGTGGGATCAGTTCAGTGGAAGAAGGGAGCTTTTTGGAATGGATGGCTTACATTTAAATAAGATATGGGCTGGCTTGTTTGGTATGGCTATTAACTCAGCTATAAGGGAAGTTTTAAGCTAGGACTAGACAGTGGTGAGGGCCAGGAAAAAATAAATGCAAAAATTTAGTATAGGAATTGAGTATAGAAATAGTTATAAAGGTAAGCTTAATTATTACTATTGTAATGCTAGAAGTATAAGAAATAAAACAGATGACTTCAGAGCACAGATAGGAATGGAGGATTAGGATATAATGGGAAGAACTCAAACATGGTTAAATGTAGATGATTTTGAAGACAGAAATTTCTTTGAAATACAGGGTTACAGGCTATTTAATAGTGCTAGAGTATTAAAGGGGGGAGGAGTGGCTTTATATGTAGAATGCGAGTTACATCCTGTTGAAGTTGAGGATATCGAAGATAATAACAAGGAGATTGAATCAATTTGGGTGTCTATTAGTAAATATAAAGGGAAAAGGCTTTTAGTGGGAATTTGTTACAGACCACCAAGTGATACTGATGAAATTAATGAGAAATTTTACAACAAGTTTATGATTTCAGCTGTTAACTCTCAATACGGGCTAGGTCAATTTATAGAAAGGAATAAAGATATTTTGGTTACAAATTTTAAAAAGCAAATTTTGAAGGGATGCAACAAGAATAGGGAAGCTGAGTTACTTGGAGACACTGATCAGATGTTTAAATTTTTAAATATTCAAGGTAAACGTATTCCTTATAGAAAGAAAAGGGTAGCTGCAAGTACAAAACCAGGTTGGCTCACATAGAGTATGAGAGATAAAATTAAGAAAAGAATAATAAATTTAATAAATATAAATTGACTGGTATGACAGGGGATTTAGAAGATTAAGAAAGTTGGTGAAACAGGAAATTAGGACATCAAAAAGGATGTACGAGAAAAGGTTGGCTGAAAATGTAAAAATTAGCAGTAAGGATTTCTTTAAATACATTAAGGGTAAACAAAATGTTAGAATGGGGTTGGGATCCTTGAGGGATGATAAAGGAAGGGTCATATCTGATGATTATGAGATGGCTGGATTATTAAATTTTGATTTTTCTCGATTTAAGAAGTATTCCACATCTTGAACAGTTGATAGATGGAAACAAGATGACTGCATTAATTCTGAGCTGGTTAAGAAAAAAATTGGGAAGTTTACAGAATGATAAGACTCCTGGACCAGATAATATTTCCCCAATGGTTTTGAAGGAGGTTAAAGACTGGATATGTGAGCCACTTCTTACTATTTTTTGACAGTCCTTGAATAGTGGGCAGGTACCAGAGGATTGGAAGTTAGCTAATGTAACTCCTTTTTTTAAGGGAGGTGAAAAAACTGTCCCAGTAATTATAGATCCATTAGTCTTACATCAGTTGTGGGAAAAGTTTTGGAAAGTCTGATAAAAGATGCTTTGCAAAGTCATTTAATAAAGTTTAGAATCTTATTGGATAGTCAACATGGTTTCACTAATCTTACAAATCTTTTGACATTCTTTGAAAAGGTTACTGCTTTTTCAGAAAGCTTTTGACAAGGTTCCACATAAAAAGCTTGTAAAAACAATTATATCTATAGGTGTGGGGGATAAGTTAGCAAATTGAATAGTAGAGTGACTGGATGGAAGAAAGCAGAGGGTTGTTACAAATGGAATTCAGTCAAACTGGATTAACTCTCTCCACATGGACTCGGTCAATTTGACTGACCACGTGACCTTTATGTATTTGTATAAAGTCTTTATAGATTTGATACATCTAACTTTTGATATTGTGTGTATATCTTCATGAAATTTGTCAGTCTTCAGTAAACATTATAAGCCTTTCACATACAGAAAAATAATATTTTTAATGAAGTACTTTTAAAAAACTAAAAGAAGATTTGTTCTTGAATATATCGAGTATATGTTTTGAATAGTTTGTGTGCAAAGTGATTTTCATGTTAAGAATCAAAATATATTTCTTCATCTCAGAAATCTCAAATTTCACTTGTGTAATCTCTAAAAACCTCCTAAATACATTTCAAATGATTTTTTCAGTAAAACTATATTTTATCTGTTATTTTGTCTACCCTATCTCTGTATGGGATCAGTCAAGTTGGCCGACCTCATAACCACCAAAAGAAAAGGAAAATCGAAATTACCCTTTTTTTAATTTATAGAATGACTTCAAATTGTAACATGAAACAACATTCATTTATCCTAAGTAGCTTTAAGCTCGCAACAATATATACATCTATTTATAATTAAATTTTATTGTTTTATTGCCATTTTGATTGCTCTTTGAACTACTATTCATACCATTATACATTGTAAATCACTTGAGGAATGTTCAGCTCATGTTACACTATCAAATTACATTACCCACAAGTTACTCCAAGGTGCTCGTATGCATAACTCATGAAATATTTTTATTATACTATTTATTTTACTTAATCTAACCTTAACTAACCCAAAGAGATCCCTATTTTTACAATTTAGTGACTTTTATAATAATAAATGAAGAATAAACATGAAAAACAAGAAATAAAGTACTTACCCGTGTTATTTTTTTTTGCTGTAGACTGTCGATGACAC